AAAGCATACTATTATAAACTAATACTATACTAATTATACAGTAATACTTTCTTTTCTTGAGACAAAAAAAAAAAAGAATTCTGTAGCAAAAAAAGAATTCTGTAGCAAATAAATGACTCAACCCCCATTCTGTCATTGGTCATTCAAACAAATAGCCCCGCCCCAACCTCACACCATTGGCTGAAACATTGCTATGCCGGGCAGGTAGAAATGTTTAACAAATAGTCAGTGTTTTGATAGCACCACAATGTTTACACTTCACTAACTTACCAATGGCATACGTACAGTTTTCTCGGCAGTCGGCATAAAAAGAAATAGCGAAAAATTGGTTAAATATATTTTTATTAAAAAACACACACACACACTTTTTCAAGGACTGTATAAGTAACAAGCTAACTATTGGCAAAGAGAGTTAAAAAATCTTGAAATAAATCGCAGATGCTTTAGACGGAGCTACAGTTCTGCTTCATTTCAACAAAAACAGATTAAAACTGCAGTGTAATGACGGTGCTTTTGCTATCTAAACTATATTGTAAACACTGGGCCATACGAAGATAATTGGCCAAAGAGATAAAAAATAGAGCAGATTCTGAATGAGTCCATTCGACCAGCGCAGGACGTGAGATATGATCAACAGGAAAGAGATCTGCGTTACGACTCTGGCCTTGGGAACAGCTCCCTGCATTCCTTTATCTACTTCCTGTTGCATTTCTTCAGCCCCTGTGGTTTGCCCTCACATACAGATCCATAAACCACTCTCCTTTAAGGAGGAACGTTTGTAAATTAGGGCTTTATTTTGCCTGGTTCAAAAAAAAAAAAAAATCAGACGTCTAGAGCGACGCCAAGCTTGTGTGGAAAACCAGAGGAGGAAAATAATGTTTGGCTTGACATTTCTTACTTTAAGGAACTGCCTGGTTTTAATCTCGGTCGATAATCAAGTTACCAGAGAGGGTCTTCGGTGGAACGCGTCCAACGGCAGGAACGTTTTTAAACCGTCGCCTCTTGAAGAAGCAGTAACATTAAAAGAGGGAAAAGCAGAATTGGTTTATGTCTCATAATTCCTGGCCTCCTAACAAGACACAGCATTCATAGCGCACACTTCTTCAAAACAGCAAAAGAGAGACTGAAATATGTCTAAATTAATTTGGATTTGTTTAGTTTATCCTTACAGGAGAGAGAGAAAAAAAACATCCTACCCTAGAACACATTAACTCGGGATAAAATTGTAAATCTTTGTTTATTCGGTCATTTGTGCAAACATTCGTACACCGATTTTCAGCTTTCCTGAACCGTCTTGCACTACAGGAATGCTGTCTTAACTTAAAGGCCTGGACAATGTCCCCTCTGTAGCTGAAGACGAGGAGGTGGGACGGGCTGGAGGGGGGTGCCTGGTTTCTCTCTCGCCATCTACCCCCACCCCGTCTCCGAGTGCTGAGTGTGTGGAAAAGGCTTGGGCTGTTGACAGGGCCGCTCTCCTGAGCACTGTTTGTTTATGTAAAATGAGGCCCTCTTGTACGCAGGACAATTCCTCTGTTTACTTTATATTGTCTTCTGGGTCTTAAAATACCATTGTAGAGTAGAGAGTTTAAAGAGTGGAAGAGAGATGGACGCGAAGAAAACGCCAGTCATAAAGGGCTGACGTGCTCTGACAGCGCAGTTATGCGATCAAGGGCTTGCCACTTACTCGCTAGTACTACTTTGTGCAATAAGTGCACTTTAGTTTAATTAATATTGAGGGAAAGTGTGGCTCGACACTCTACAGAAGTGGATTCGCAAGTGGGAAGTGCTTCTAAAACAATGATTTGCTTAAAAATTGTTCATTTGCTTGCTGTACCGTTAGCGATTTGTAACCAATCAGGTGCAATCATCCAATCCCATAATGCAATGCAATAACAATTCTACAACTAATGTACACTCAACCGCACTCCATGGCTAGAGAATACCCATAATGCACGGTTGCACCCAATTAAGTGCCGAAGTTATGACGTCACTTTGTAGAACAACTCGGAAGCTAGCGGCGCATGGGTTCCCTCGATCGAAAAGCTATGCATTTTCCCCACAGACTTTTGGAAAAATCGCAAAAAATAAGATCTGTGTTTAATAAAGTTGTGACCCTTACACGTTTTGTCTATCAAGATAATCTTTACAAGTTAATCCAAAATGTATACATTTTGAAGCCTATATAAAGTTTTTCCTATATAAATCAAAACGTGAAAATATTTCGAGGTGTTTACCACAGACCTTATTTCAGGCGATTTAGCAAAAACCCATTCAAAAATCCCATAGACTTTAGAGCGAGGGAACCATTAGTGCTAAAATGCTAACTCACTTCCACGTTTTGGCCTACAGAGTGACGTCGTAACTTCGGCACTCTATGAACTCTCGTCAGAAGACGGCGTCTGCAGCTGAATCGAACATCCATTGCTTTTTAAATGATTATTAAATTGTTGAATTAAGGTTTATATTCCATGACAGAGTTCAAAATAATACTTCTGATAACCACTGGAGCTGCAAGTTTGCTAGGTTTCAAATTATGAAACCGCAAGCACAAACTAGGCAAAAGCAGCAACCCTTCCAGTGCGCAGTGTCCGAATTCAATCAAGTGAACTATATTAGTGGAATAATGTAGGGGATAGCGAATGAGGATATAGGCCAGGGGGCGATTTCACACAGCCTAGGAGTATTTAAGATGCCATAAAATATGTTAGCATCTAACAAACTTTAGCACACCAAATTAATAAACAAAACACTGCCGTCAAGATTAGCTTCACAGCGCTAACAACAATTTACTGACTAATCTCCACACAAAAGCATTGGACTTTTACCCTGCCGTTTGCACTCACTAGAATATAATTAAATCAATTATGAAACATTATTAAATAAGGAAGTGATAATTAGCAAACAAAGGGCAATGCTGTTAAACTGATGGGGATGTTGAAAACTACCCAGATAGCAAACTGACATTGAATCAACGTGGAAACGACGTCTCTCATGACATTGAAACAACGTTGATTTGCTCATCGAATTAACGTTGAACCAACGTCAGACGCGGCATTCTTCAAAGCTAAATGAAATCGAAAATTGGTTTGCTTTCATAACGTTGAAACAACGCGTTGATTTCAAGTTGATTTTCCGTTAGTTTTGAAAGAATGACGCATCTGACGTTGGTTCAACGTTAATTCGATGAGCAAAACAATGTCAGATCAACGTTGTTTCGATGTCATATTTCCACGTTGATTCAATGTCAGTCTGCTATCTGGGTACAAAAGTGCTGAATTAGCATTTATGAAAAGAGGACATTGTGGAAGATAAATCCTTAAGAAACTTCAACCTGGGGTCAAAGCAAACCTTGTTAAAGCCTGCTAACTCGGTTAAGAAAAAGTATATGAAGGTCCTTTATAACTGAAAGAGAGAAGCTATTATAGAATAGCTGTTTTTCCATCGTACAAGCTAAAACAAAACAAAACTGCTGAGAGAAAATAAAGTTCCTCGAAAAATCTTCACATAGCAGGTTGTGTTTACGTTGGAAACCCAGTGCCAACAGTTACTGTAAACAATTTTCAGCTTCGGTTCAGTAACATTACATGTTTTTTTTCCTCATAGACTGAGTGGCGCTTCACTAACTTTTGTACTCCAAAGCTATACACAACCTTGCTATTGTACACTGAGGAAGACATGGTTGACTCAGTTGCCTTCAGGCTCGCTCGCACACACATAAATCCACACGAGTAGGCCAAAAGTCAGATGTTATTATCCATCTTATCTACTAGAATCACAGTCGCTCTTTGTTACAGCTGTTAAAGGTAACCTGTTTTCCTTAGTCAAACCACTCATGCGACAGCAACCCTTCTCAGCCTATAATGCTATTTGACGAGTTGAAAAAACCATTGTGCTCCAAACAAGCAAACCTAATGCAACATCTAATATCCAAGTGCATGACCAACAGATTCAAGCATTCTCACGAGTAAGCAGCACAATGAACACAATGAACAAATGTTTATCGCCACAGGCTCGCTGAAATATTTCCACAATGACATGTTGGCCTACGTTCGCATGCCTCATCACTTATACATTGACAGGGCAGCTTTAGTGAGCAACAGGCAAACACTGCTGCACACAAAAAACACTCCAGATATCCTTCAATTAAGCTAAATGGAGGAAGGCAAACATATGCAGCAATTTGCCTGCGATTCAAACACCTCGGTGGGGGCTTGCTACTCAGGTAGCCAAACCACCCCCCTAGGTGAAGATGTCATTAAGATAATGGGCATCCAGTAGAGACCTCAGACAGGGCCGTCAAGCGGTAACTAATGATAACAATAGTCGCCTAACTGCCCTATAATTGAAAGACAGTTTCACTGATGGGGAAGAACTTATATGGTGCTTATCTAGAAAATCTTGATATGGCTCAAATTAAGTCAAAGGTCTTTATGACATCAGCCACAAAAACACGCAATCTTAATCTATGCGCCCAGTCATAAACGTAACTCTCTAACCCAGCAACATCCTATCACACAACAACAAAGGGAGTAAAGACACATTCCTGACACCAAAAGCTGGATGAATCCTATCTGCCTGGGCTTGCCTCCAGTTTGTCGCCTGTTATGATAATACAAAATTAATTGTGCAGACATTTCACTGGGAAAAGTCCATTTTCGTGCCATTGGAGGCGGCAAATAAAGACTTCTTTTGTGCTCGGGTGAGCCCAAGTAAATGACTTATTGTGCAATGCACCAGAATGGCCTCCTAATACATGCATGCTCCAGACTCAACAAGTGGTTCCCCCCAAACTACGGTCAAGTTTTGAAACATGAAGCTTGCTTGGGTATTTGGTAGTTGTGAAGTATTAAAAGGGTTTCTAAATACAAACAAAGGAAATACTGGGGTTTCTTAAAGCGACTATGACGCAATGAAAGGCGACTTTTGGCGAAAAAAATACAGAGTACAACGTGACGTCATGAAGGTGATACAACTAGCGTTTAAAGTGAAATGGCACGTACCGTTCGTGTGCTGGGAGATAGGGATCCGTTGGAGAGGTATGGGTTCGTAATATCTGGGATCATAAGAAATGGATAACCATAATGGGGTCCCTTGAAAAATCCTCCATCTTGTTGTCGTCTCAAAGCTTTAGGGGCGAAAGCAAACGAATACATTAAAAAAAAAAAAAACACTCACACAAAACACACGGAATACGTCTCGAAATGTTTTACCTTCCGCAAAGTGTTCTCTCTGTTTCTCATAACTTTCTAGTTCTGGTCTGGGTCGAGGACGCCTGTCTGTTTGCTTGCATTTGGGAAATAAAGCATCGGTTTAGTTTTAGCACTACCTATTAACACTCAATATGCATGCATTAGATGCCGAGGGCACTGAAATGACATAGTGGGCTACAGAACTGTTGTGCTTACTTCGGAGTCTGATGAGCTGCTGTTGTTCTCGGACTCGTTCACTAGAGAAGATTTCACATCGTCCAGATCTCTCTCCGACGACACGTTCTCGGATATTTTCTCCTCTTGCTCACCCTCATCTTTGAAGGAAATAAGTTCATCGTTTGCTCCCAGGTCATCACCTCCTCCCCCGTTTAGTTGAGGCATGTTGGCACTTAAAAACCCAAAAGACTGATTAAAACGAAATGTTCTTCTCTTAGCAGGACCTGTAATCCGAACTAACCCCAAATCTTAGAAGCGCGAATGTGCCGAGGCTAGAAAAAACGAGACATTCCCAGTTTTCCCATGATCAGATCAAAAGCCCGTGGGTTGGGGATTGGGGTTTTCTTCCAACTAAACCGCACTGAAATAAACCCCCAAAACAGTCCATCATTTAATATCCATTCGCGTGGCTGCTGGAATCTTCCGATACTCCTGCACAGGACGAAAAAGTCATGCACGAAAAAAAAAAAAAGTTTCGCGAAACAAAGGTGTGGATTCAAAGTTTCAGGCAGTCCCGTTCCTTCAGAGTTTCTCTTCTTCCAAATCTCTCCGGGTGTCAGTGTGTCAGTCCCATGGTTTGATTGAAAGCGCACGAACTCCCCGACTGTGTGTTTAATATTTATAATTCAGCTCCGATGACAGACTCGAATGTGGATCAAGAAACATTTGTATCCCTGGATGATAGAAGTGGAGCGGGGCAGCCGCAGAAGGAAGAAACACCCTCACGGACTGAAGGAGGAGGAGTCTGAGGTGTAAACCGACACTCTATTCACACGACGATCCCCCTTAAAGAGACAGTCAACACTTCTGAAAGAAATACCTCCTGGATTGAAACAAGTGATACGATTCATTACAACTAGCAACCACACACTAATACTACTATTAATAAGAATAATTCTATGTAAAATGATCATAAATAATAATATGAAATATACTGATTGAAACAAATGCTTCATCTATCTATCTATCTATCTATCTATCTATCTATCTATCTATCTATCTATCTATCTATCTATCTATCTATCTATCTATCTATCTATCTATCTATCTATCTATCTATCTATGATCTTAGATGCATGTGTTCAGATGTTGCAGGAACTCCAACGCCACCTCAGCCCACGTCTTGTTTTGTGCGGGTTTAGGCTACAATGCGGGACGTTTTCCATGTTTGCAGATAAATAGGGGAGGAGGTGGTTGATGAACATACACAACACAACTTTATATAGAAACAAACAGTTTTACAATGCTTGATCTGACTTGCAACTGGTCAAGCTACTTTGTTTACCTGCATACTTCAGTGGCTGTCAAACCTATGAAGCAGTTAGTTTACAGAAGTTCATATTCTGTCTTTATTTAACATTCTCTTTTAATCATATCCTGTTTTGAACTGTGCAAGTAGTTCATATATTAATATATAGAGGAAGCGCCCACTCCCACCCTTCGTTCTTCCATCTTGTGGGGGTTTTGTCTCCCACAGGTGGCTTAAGACTATATTGTGAGCTTAAACTGTCCATGCAAGCATGCAATCCACAATCTTTGTATTTTGTAATATGTTTGTCTTTGATTTAGCTCTATTTAGCCTTGTATGAAATTTTGACTCTCCTGGTTTTCGATATCCTCCTGTTCATTGGCTCCCGAGCTCCTCTTCAGAGGCCGCCGGTGAGAATCCTCCAGACTGTGTCCATGTTTGTTTTTTCCATCAACACGGATGGCCTTTTACATGTAGTGCATGGCCAAGTCAGCCGCCCATAAATCATTCAGCGGCAATCCGATTGAAATGAATATGAAAGTACTGAGAGACTCGGATGTAGATTGTCAGGTAGAGAGAGAGAGAGAGAGAGAGAAAATAAATAATTCAAATGCTGATATATTAAATCATATGAGCAATGAATTATTGACATGTTGACTGTGTGGTTATCAGTGACATGGGAATTTTCCCGCTCAGATTTCCTCTCTGTTGACCAAGGATAAATAACACATCTTCAGCCCCATCTCTGCATCCAGCCCAAAAATTTGAATAGATTTGAAACCAAATAAATAAAATGAAAAGGGGTTAATAAAAGCAAGCTCAGTGAACAGGTGCGTGTTAAACAGTTGCATGACTGGCAGAACTCCTGAATTTAATATACCAGCTCCTGAATAACCTCAAGCAACCAAAAAAAAAACTACATAGACATAAATAATTATTTTGGTAACATTTTACCATAAGGTCTCATTTGTTAAAGGAGAACTCCGGTGCTAAATGAACCTTTGGTCTAATAAACATTGGTACCCAGTCAACAGTTCTCTGAAATTTGTTTTCATGATAATCGAATGTAAAGAGTTTTATCCCTAAAAACTGTTTAGCGAATAACGCTAGTAATGAGGGCATTTACTAATTAAAAAGAAATCGCTAGTTTATACCACTAACAAGGCTCAAAATAGCCCCACACTAACACAGTAACATAATGAGGGTCCCTACGTGCAAAACGAAAACTTTGTAAGTGTACAGACCGTTTAATAAGAAGATACTTTATAAAGACAGTGCCATCTTTGGAAACCAGACTCGATAAGTCGAACCACGAACGCCGTTCATACAGTTCAGATGTTTGCTGAACTTCATACAGTTCAGCTCACTTGGCATGTCGTTCGTGGTTCGACTTATCAAGTCTGGTTTCCAAAGATGGCTCCTGCAGTGTATACACGAAGTGAACTGTCTTTAAAAAATATCTTCTTATTAAACGGTCTGTACACTTACAAAGTTCTCAATGCTTCGTTTTGCATGTATGGAGCCTCATTATGTTACTGTGTTAGTGTGGGGCTATTTTGAGCCTTGTTAGTGGTATAAGCTAGCGATTGTTTTTTACTATAGTAAATGCCCCCATTACTAGTGTTATACGCTAAACGGTTTTTAGAAATAAAACTCTTTACACTCGATTATCATGAAAACAAATCTCAGAGAACGGTTGACTAGGTACCGATGTTTTATTAGACCAAAGATTCATTTAGCGCCGGAGGTCTCCTTTAACATTAGATAGTGCATTAGTTAACATAAACTATAAGTATGAGCAATTTCAGGCAAGTTTACATGACGAGAATGTACTAAAACAGAAAAAATGGTCCTTTGCATTTTTGACATGTAGACGTCAACGTTATCAAAGCGATCCCGTTCACATGGATCCGTGAAATTGATTTAAAATGCTGTATTCTGCTGCCAGGCCAGTAGTTGGCGATGTCTCTTTGTAAAGAAACACTATACGTCTATAGACAAAACACTTGTAAATTTGTGTCACGTGTAGACATGCATGATGTCACAAATTTGCGTTTTTGTAGTTTACATGGAAACAATAATGTATTGTTTTAAAAAATGTACACTTCAAAAGCAGTTTTCAGTCCCCAAAACACCATTGTCATGTAATGAAAGGCCAAAATGTGTAAAATGTTTTCAGTTTTTAGTTGAAACTGTGTTGGGACTGATTACACTCTTTTCAACTAAAAATGGGGGAAAAAAATATTTTGAATGGTCATTTACACAACAACAGCATTTTGGGGGCCTGAAAATGCAAACTTTTGAAAACTTTTTTCACATTTATGAAAACACTGACGTCATATGCATGTGTATTACGTGTTCAGTCTAGGTGCGTAGTGTTTCTTCACAAAGTGGCATCGCCAACTACTGGCCTGCCAGCAGAAAACAGCATTTTTTATCGTTTTCGCATACGTGAACTGGTGAACTGGGATCAATTTGACAACGTTGTCGTCTGTACGCAGAACTTTTCAATTATGTAATTCATTTTCAATTCATTTTTGTTATGTTAACGTATATGGTTAATGCAAATACAACTGAGTATTGTTGGTTCATATTAGTTCAGTGCATTACCATTAACAGATACAACTATTAAAGAGACAACTTTTTAGTAAATGTATAGAAATTAATGAATAAATGCTGCAAGTATTGGTCATTCTTAGTACGTTACTTAAAGGGATAGTTCACTTTGAAATACATTTTTGTTATGTTTTAGCTTACCTCAAGGGCATCCAAGAAATAGGTGTCTTTGTTTCCGCAGTAGTTTCAATTTTGATATTTTTAGGTCAAACCGTTCTTGTCTGTCAGTCATATAATGGAGGTCTATGGTCACCACCTCAAAGAGAATGCACAGAGAAGTCCAAATTAAACATGATTTAATGACTCGTAAATGTAAGTACACATTGATGGCCCAAGACACGAAACGAGTGGTTTGTGTGAGAAAATGAACAGTATTTATATAGTTTTTACCTCTTGTAACCCACAGCCACAAAGCACCTGCACCCTCAGATCAATTGGACTGTGGTAACAAGAAGTAAAATAGATATAAATACTGTTCGTTTTCTCACACAAACTGCTCATTTCGTGTCTTGGGCCATCAATGTGTACTTACATTTACGAGTCATTAAATCATGTTTAATTTGGACTTCTTTGTGCATGCTCTTTGAGGTGGTGACCATAGACCCAATATGACTGACAGACAAGAACGGTTTGAGCTAAAACATCCTTCATTTCAAACTGAACTATCGCTTTAATGTTAAAAAATAGAACCGTTTGAGTGTTACCATTATTTGATATACACATGGTGAAAAAAAAAAAGTTTTATTTAGGATTTATTTTGAAACTATTTTCACTCAGAAAAGGCTAGTAAATTTCATAAATAATTTAAACAAAATTTGAAGTAGAAAGTCTGAAATAATATTTTCTTTTAAAACATACCCCAATAATCTTTATTAATATTTTTACATTGCATTTGCATTCATCACAATTTGGTCTATTTCATACGTTGAATACTGAGCTCATCTGAAAATGGCCTACAAAATGTGCATCCTCCCAACAATGACACGCCAACATTCTCCGGACAATATGCTTGGTTGTCGTTCAATAAGCTTTAAAGGCAATGTGGTTATATCAATTACTTTTGATGATCAAAGATGAGTGCATTAGTGCAAAGCAAGGAAGCACTTCATTTCAAGATCAAATATGTTCCTCATTTCAATCAGTGTCACATCTCTTTTTCAAGAGGACCTGGACACCCCCTGACACAACGCCACCACTTTCATCATCTCAGGTTTGAAAGAGAAGGAGCCAGCGGATGCACACTCAGGGTTAACTGTGGACGTCTTTTCACCACATCAAAGAGCAGAGAAAGGAGAAGTGCATCTCCTTGATTAAGCCACATCTTCTCTCTTCTCTTAAAGTACAAAAAAACAAAAACTTGCCATTAATGCACCCATCCTCTTCCCCGAGAACTAAGACGACGGGCTGGGCTCAGATTCTCCTCCTCTAATCATGAGAACTAAAGGGAAATCTGCCTCGTGCGCATGAATATTGCATTACCTGCCATTTCTTCTTTCTCTCATCCTACCCTACTTTTTTTGTGCCGCAAAATCCGGGTGCTTTCATGTTTTAACACCTTCTGCCTGAATGTGTATTTCTTCCCTTTTGTTGTGTAATCAAAGCCAAATGAGAAGTGATGAGCCAAATCAGAGCAGCATGAAATAACCCACGGGAGATGATTCTCGGTTTCGTGGGGCCGACAAAATTCGTTTCCCACCAGCAAATTGTTGACTGTTATATTTTGAATAATCCAAGAGAAAAATGAGGAACTAGTTACTATTTTAAGGCAATCTGAAACAAAGCTTTCCCTCATTCTGCAAATGTGAGAGGTCAATCCTGGGTTCAGTTCTGGCTGCTTCCGCTTTCATCTGTGACCCGGCCTTATGACAATACATAATCAACTTTTACAGTTTCAGCTGAGCTGTCACATGATATACAGTATGCTAGACATATTCTATTGCTCATAGTAAGAGTTAATGATTTGAACAAACCTTTAATTACAAGTACTAAAAAAATCATGTAATCATCCTCATCATGTAAAACATATGTCCATATATAAAAATTACCCTAAAATACATTGTTAATACAGATTTTAAA